ACCCTTGCGCCGTGGTGCAACTGCAATGGCTCACGCCAGTCGTGCGGTGTAGCATCCCGCCCCACGTACGTGTGAAACTCACGGTAGCGAGGATTTACCATAGGGCCAACAAAAGCACCCCATCCTGCCGCACCGACTGCATCAGGCAAAATGGCAGCAAAAATGCGGCCCTCCACCGCGGTGAGATCTACCACCACAGCGGCGTACCCCAAGACATCGATGATGTGTGGAAAAGCTATAAAAGCAACGCTGCCGACATGAGGAACCGGTTCGACAGGTGTCACACAATCGAGAGCATCAAAGGGGAGATCACATGGTATGGTGTGTGCTTTGCGCAGGACATCATGAGGCCCCTCATGCACACCAACAGAGAGCTGAGAAAAAGCAGTCTGGTAGTGTGCGGCAAAAATGGCGACGCCAAGTGTCACAGATCCGTCGCCTTCCTCGCTGCAGGCATCAGGAGATGCGGCGTTGACGGCTGATTCTTCGGTTCCTGACCGGTGCACAGAGGCTTCCTCGGGCGCCGGGAGACCTACGTCAGCGGCAAGTGCTGTGATCATTGAAGCGGCCTCAGAGCCGCCAGGCATCGCCCATACGCACACAGGGGTCCGGAGGCAGGCCAACATGAACAACCAAAATTTGGCATACCTAGAGCTACTCCGATATCCGCGGTGACGCCTAGATGGCTCGCTAACCCAACTAAGAGCAGGCTTGTTGGGCAGCCCAATTCCACCGAGAGCAACCACAGGACTGCACGACGAGCGGTTTGCCATGCAAAGGAAGACCTGGCCTAGGGGAGACCTCGCAAAGCCAAGCTGCTCCATAAGGAGATGCAAAAGTGCATAGCCCAGGGCGGCAAAGGCCAGGAGGAAACACGACAACGCCTGTTCCATCCACCAGAGGCATAGGGAGCCCTCCGGCTTCCGCCGACCGCAGCAGATCAGCCCAATTTCCCCAACACCTAAGCCAGACAGAGACTCCAAGGCTGATGGCGAGCCTCGATTGACGGCACTAGGGGGGCCTAAACCAAAACTAGGGTAGGGGGGAAGGGAAACCCCAGAAGGGACATCCTCCTCGCAGCAGCCTCTAAAGATGGCGCACCCCTGAACCTCAGCACAGCAAAGAAAGGCAGCCTTTATAGTCGGCGCCTCGCACAGCTTCATATAGCCCTCGCCCTCTACGGTACACATGGGGCAACGCAAAACTGACAGGTGGGCTAGGGCACGGAAACCCAGAAGCCCCACAAGGGAAGGACACCGAACGTCGGATAACACAAGGGCCCGTGGCGGGAAGTCCAAAGCGGGTCGGCCCCGCACACTGCATATGTCTGTCCAGCACAGGCAGGAATCCTCGATAGAGAAAGGCTCACCGCCGAAAGTGCGCTGCAGCTGTAGTGGCTTCGTCCGGCACTCGAAAAGGAAGCTATGTACAACTACTCTACGCCTCTCCCTTGCAATGGTGTGAAAAGCATGAGGCCAGACGGCGCGAAACAGATAAACCTCCTCGATCAAGCCTTCCCCGACCTGCAACTTGTCAATGTCAGCTTCAGACCCATAAAGCTGACAAGGACATAGGCAGACCAGGGGGCTATGCCGAGCGAAGCTATCCTCAAGCGCCGAATGCCTCATGCGTAAAGTCACTCCAGGCCAAAGATGCCGTCGCTGTCGAGGTCCATCCCATCCGTATCCGAGGCGATTGGAATTTCGCCCGGCTTGGGTGCGGGCGGGGCCTCGATCTGCTTGTCCATACCGGCGCCACGGAATGGCAGCAAGGCCGACCGTGCCTCCGAAAGCTCCGCACGCTTTGCATCCAATTTGCGTTCGATGGCAGGCGACGTAGAAGCAGGAGCCTTGGGCTTCGGAGGGTGCTGATGCTTCACCGGCTGGCGGTGCTGTCCGTCGGCTGCCTTGGGCCGCTGTCTCGATGCTGTCCTTGCTCCCGATCCCAGACCGGGCGGGAATGTTGCAGGTATAAGCTCCGGATCCGCTGCAGCACATGGGGCTCCCAAATAGGGGTCTCGAACTGCCTGCTCCCCCGGTGTTCCCGGTCCAAGCATTGAAGCGGGTGGGGTGAGCGGCTGCGCCGCAACCATTCGCTGTGGCGGTGTGGCAGGCATCACGCCTTCCGGCACCCCGCCACCATGCAAGGTGGCGGCCAATCTCGCCAGGTCCTGGGTCAATGTGCTCTCCGGCGCTGTTGGCTGCTCGCACATTGCACTCCATTCTTCCATAGCCGCCCGATCGGCGACCACCCTCGTGGCTGACCCAGTGAAGGCTGCATCCTGGATGCCCTTGTACGAAGCAAGCTGCATCTCCTCGAGCTCGGAAATCTCCTTCTCCAGCTTTGAGGTATCTGCCAAGTACCGACTCCGCTCGGTCTGGTACGCCTGTTGCATCTCCATCTTGTATGCGCTCCAGCGGTCTTGGCGCGCAGCCAACTCCGTCTGCAGGGCATGCAGCTTCCCATCCATCTTCCTGGCATTGTTGAGGGCCGATTGGACTACCTGCACAAGTGTCGGCCCTTCCTGGCTCCCTACTCCTGGGCGACGAGTCTGGACGGCTGCCATGCCCTTGGTCTCCTTCCAGTTCTGATCGTACGCCGGGAAAGCTTTGGCCCTCGCTTTGGCTTTGGGCCCGACTCTCTCCTGCGCGGCTCCCCTGGGCGATGCATGCGCACCAGACCACACAGACCACCCACGCTGCTGCGGCTGTCCGTCCCATTGGTCCCAACCACGCTGCTGCTTCCAACCTCGCTTCCCACCCATGTGTAGCAGGGCGAGGGATCGATGCGGGCAAGTCCCGTGGTGTTGGGCCAACCTGCGCAGCTTATGCACCGCAACGCGTTTGCCCAGGTGAATGAGCTGCCGCGTACGGGAGCGTTGTTGTCGCTGTCGGCGGTGCCAAGCAGGACTCCTAATGGCGCGCGAGAAAATGATCGGCGCGGCACAATTGGCCTGCGCCTGGGGCTCTAGCGATCCGCTCACGGTTTTCTGAGCCCTATATATATGTATATATGTATACACACACACACACATATCATGTCATATTAGGCCTGTCCTTGCAGGTCCAAAGGGTCACGAGGGCTTCAGAAGACCCCCAGGCAGGCGGATCAACCCTAAACCCTAAACCGATCTCCAACGACTTGATTGATTGGGTACGTACTCTGCAGAAGGACCCGCTTGTTTTGTGGGGCCCCATGGAGAAAGACTAGACGAAATGTCTAGTCTGTGCAGCACCCGCTGTCATGTCCTCTTCTGCCTCTTCGTACATTTTTTCATGCATGCCTTTCTCTGCGGCTCCAGAAATTTTTTTTGAGTTACAAAAATTGAGAACCATCACTTGAACCGTAAACCTTAAACCCTAAATCCTTAACAAAAAAACCCTATACCGGAACCTCCCAAGATCAGCAGCTCTGAGGCTACGGCCCCCGCGGCTTTCCATCCTGGGGAATCCCGCCGGATGCTGATTTGCTCTTTGAGATCGAGGCCGGTCCCTGGAGACGCCGAAGACAGGGTTTTTAGGGTTTTTAGCGTTTTTAGGGTTTTAGGGTTTAGGGTTTAGGGTTGAGGGTTTTAGGGGCCTGTATAACTGGAATAGGGTTCCTTGAAGGGTTCCATTTAAAGATTCGTACAAGAGGCCTAGGGTTCCTCGAAGGGCTCCTTTAATAGATTACTAAAAGAGTTGTAGGGTTCCTTGAAGGGTTCCGTTAAAAGATTACTATAGGAGCTCTACATGGGTGTCATATTAAAGTAGGAGGTCAGCTTCGGGGTAGGTTTTCCTCGGTACCTTCGTCATTCTTACACCGGAACTGCCCTGTGGTTGGGGACGGTACTGCAGAATCGCTTGTTGCTCGTTGCGTGATTTCTCGTGCTGGATTATCTAACGTTCACATTATTGTCGTTTTGGTTCCAGGTAAGAGATAGAGGATAGAAGACAAGGAGTACTGGCAATAACCCGCGGTCATGTTCCTCACCATCATACTCGCAGTGTTTGAAGAAGGCGGCGGGACCCCGGTCACCTGGGCCCCTTTATATAGCCTGAAAGATGACCAAACCAGGCTGAACCCCTTGATCGCAGCACCCGGTTAGGTTGGCGTCCCAGCCTCACATCAAAACGATCACGGAAGGAAACTACTGGGTTTAGGGTCTAGGTTTAGGTAAAGTTTAGGTGCAACCGATTAATAGCGTATGGGAAAGAAAACGTTGTGCAACGACAGCGAGCACTTGTATGGTAAGCCCAGCATCCGGATCTTGTTTGCTGTTGAATGGTCGCTGTCATTGTTCCACATCTCGGGCAGTGTTCATTGTTGTTGCTGCTGCTGCTGTCGTTGTCGTTCTCCCGGCTGTTCATCTGAGTAGACATAAGCCCACGAGCCTTGGAGGTCCTGGACATCAAGCGGAACGGGCTGCCCATCTGAGACCCGTCTCTGTGTAGTCTGTTCTATCGATTTCTTCTCTCGGCGAGTGCTGGACCAAAATCCCAGTCTGATCACAGGGCTTCGAGCTCAACAACTTAACTAGACGAGGACGGCTGACAAGGTTTGAGCAAGTTCGGCATGTCCCTTCGTGGTGCTATCTACTAGCTGCTAGCACTCGACGTCCAACCCTGTACCCCTAAATCCCTTCTGAACCTGCCACAGCCACTTCTGACAATTTAACCCGAAAGCCAGAGCTTCAGAGGGACGCCAGCTGCTGAGTTCGGGGTACGAGTCCGAGAACTGACACAGGTAGGAATCAGGTTCAGGGTTCAGGAGATCTTGATCTCAGGAGTTACCCTGCAGGGGTTTCGGGTTTAGGGTGCTTCTAGGCCCGAGTTTAGGCCCAGCCCCACGTGCGCCAGCAACTGGACGAGCGCGACCGTGAGCACCTCTTCAAGCAACTGCTGGACCACCAGAGTGCGGCTTGGCTCATGCTCCATTCATGCCCGGGATGCTGCACACGAGGTCTTTCACCAACTTACGGAATTCATGGGTCAGCCGGGTGCGGAACAGCCGCAGAAAGAATGTCTCTAAGCATGTCCTTCTGGCCCAGCTCCGTGAGCATAGCCTCATGCCGCTGCTTGCGTTTCGCATGGGAGCCCACTGAGGAGTCGGATGGGGGCAAGAACATGATCGCGGGCTTGCTCTCCATGCAACGCATGAGCCCCCTGCCCAGCTCTGAAGTTCAGCTGAGCTCCCCCCCATAACCCTAAATGGCCGCAAAGCCTAAGCCCTGAACCCTAAACCCTAAAGCCTAAAACCCTAAACCCTAAACCCTAAACCCTAAGCCATGTTTCACAGTGTGTGCTTACGTTAGCAGGCGGTCGGAAAGGGCATGTCAACACACTTTATTAAAAAAAACCCTAAGCCCTAAGCCCTAAACCCTAAACCCTAAACCCTAAACCCTAAACCCTAAACCCTAAACCCTAAACCCTAAACCCTAAACCCCTCAACCCCAAGAGACCCAAGAGCCCCAAGAGCCTGCCCGGCTCCGCGTGGAGCCCAGGTGCTGGGCGCCTGAAGCGCTTCGAGGCGCGCGGCGCGTCGCCGCAGGCGGTCTCCGACAGTCGGAGGGTCTCCATGGGTCAAAGGTTCTCTAGGGGTTTAGGGTTATAGGGTTATAGGGTTTAGGGTTTAGGGTTTAGGGTTTAGGGTTTAGGGTTATAGGCCCTATAAGAGCTTAACTTAAAGGGGTTCTGTACTCTTTCTCAGCGAGGGGTCTACAGTCTATCAGGATGTTCTACCTGGGTCGAAAAGGATTGGGTCTACAATCTGCGATGGGTTTATACGGTTTTGTTAGGGTTCTGGTTTTTTGGAGCTTTTACACCCTTCAGTTCTTGTTGCATTTTGGGGCCTGGGGTGTTGAGATTTGAAGGTTAACAGCACAGTGTGGTTGGGGTTGAAGAAAAGCCTGAGGACTGCGGGTACGCTGGGCTCGGATCTCTTGTCTCTCCAAGGCTTGAAACCCGAAACCCCCCTAAACCCTAAACCCTAAACCCTAAACCCTAAACCCTTTGAATCCTACTCTTGAAATCCTAAGCCCGGAATCCCGAATCCTGAGCCCCAAACCCAGACTCGGGGCCGTCCTCGATGCTTCGAACAGCAGGGGATCTAGAGAAGCACAGGGTAAGACCGGGTAAGAGAGGACAGGATAGTTCCAAGGATCCAGGACATCGCCAGAGTCGGAAAGTCGCCGCCTACCGCAGGCGGCGTTTAGATCCCTCTGTGGACTCTATTCCGACACGCTCCTGTCCATCCGAGCTCTGCGTTGCCCTCCCGACCCTAGGGCACTTGTACGATAAATTGGATAGTACGGCATAGAAGAATGGAATGCAATATAATAGAGTGTAGTACGGTATAGCATAGTACAATACAGATAGTATGGTCTAGTCTAGTCTAGTCTAGTCTAGTCTAGTCTAGTCTAGTCTAGTCTAGTCTAGTCTAGTTTTTCTAGTCTAGTCTAGTCTAGTCCAGTATGCGATAGTTTTCTACACTACACTACGCTACACTACACACAACTACAATGTACTCTACTATGCTCTACTATACTTTGCTATACTTTACTATACTCTACAACACTCTACTCTACTCTACTCTACTATACTATCCTATATTTGCCTGTACTTTTCTATACTATACTGCTTTATACTTTCCTATACTTTACTATTCTAGACTATACTATCCTATATGACACTAGACTAGACGAGACTTCGGCTAAGCTAAACAAGACTAGACTCGACTATACTATGCTATACTATACGATCCGATGCGATACGGAACTATACGATACTATACTGTCGAACGAGAGCAGGAGCTCCCCATGCTGGCCAACGGCCGGATTCTCGGTGCCTTGTGGCAGATGCCTTCGAGGATTTCTTTTTTCCATGAGGGTTTAGGTGCCTCGGTTCTCAGAGATCATATATTTTATGTATATACAAAAGAAGATGTACCTACGTATGTACCTACGTATGTATGTATGTATGTATGTATGTATGTATGTATGTATGTATGTATGTATTTATGAATGTAATTATGTAGGTATGTACGTGTGTACATGTGTACCTATACATGTATATGAACATATGTATATATATATATATAAATATTCTATTCCATTCTATTCTATTCTATACTATTCTATTCTGTTCTGCTCTATTCTAATCTAGTCTAGTTTATTCTGTTCTGTCGAATATATGGTACTGTATTGCATTGTATTATATTGTGTTATATGGTTCCAGATTAGGTTATATTTTATTGTGTTATATTCAATCACATCATGTCACATCCTGTCATACTATTGTATACTTATAGTACATACTGTCATATTGTAGTATGTGAAATGAATAAATGCCTCTCTCTCTATATATGTGTGTGTGTGTGTACCTAGAAAGTAGTTTGATGGAGTTCAGTCGTAGGATCGCCCAGGCTCCACACACCGTGGCGTGGGACTTAGATCGGAGCTTGAACCTTCTGCCACCAAGGTCTCACATGCTTAGGTCCCACAGTGGAAAGCGAAACCTGCCGACTTCAAGCATCAAAGCCGCGGCTCACAGTGCTGCTTTCAAGTTGTGCTCTCTATACTGTCCTGCTGTGGATCTCTGCCTTGCTACCTGCAGTGCGACTGTTCCTCTTCGACTTGCGGCGTTACCTCCATTCTTCGCCTGTCGAGTTTCTGAACGTCGCAGGACGCGTTTTTTTTTTATAAAGCTTTCCTCAATCGACCGGACCGCCTTCTTCCTCGTAAAGCCAAGATGCAGAACAGCCATGATACACACCATCAGCCTGACACCAGGCACCGACTACTGGCTGCTTGAGCTTCTTGCTGAGCTCTGCCAGTCACCTTTCCTTCGTTTACCCAGATTCCTCATGATCCTCCTCCTCTACCACTGCCCTATCACTAGTGCCAAAGTCGGGGGACTAGAACTTCTTTCCCAAGACACGGTGCCAGTGCTGTGCCTTTGAAACCTCGTTGCTCGATAATGTACGATCCTCGGGCCAGTTTAGATGGGCAAGCCTTCCGCAGCATGAGAGTTCTATTTCGGCCCTTGCTTGGCTCACTCTTTTTTCGCGGCGATGCTCTGTGCCTCGCTTGGCCCACTTGCTGCATATCCCTTTGCTCGCTGACCTCTGCTTGCTTTGGTTTTCCGTGGCACTGGCAGCCTTGAAACCCTAAACCCTGGACCCTANNCCTAAACCCTACACCCTAAAGCCTTGAGGCTACCAAGATGGAGTGAGGGCCTGCGATCTCATCGAGGTTTTGGACTCAGATCTGGACAAATTTTCCTCTGGCATATTCTGAAATCAGGAGTACAGGGATCTGTGCTTTGAGTTCGTGCTGCAACAGTTCTTTAGTTCAGAGTTGCTAGGTTTTGTGCTTGAGTGTGCGTGGGGGACAGTAGGAACTCGGAAGGCACCACGACCTAGGCAATGCCATGCAACAGAAACGTGTAAGATTGAGCATTATCCCCTAAACCCTAAACCCAAAACTGAGTAAAACCACTAGTAAGAAGCAGCAATACCAACACGAACACCAACGGCCGCGGCAGCTCCAAGTGCAGCAATTGCAGCGGCAGCGGCAGCAGTGCGGCCTTGACAGATGCAGCTTGAAAGCCTCAAGTACCGGTGACCAGTACTCTCATTGCAGCCTCCGCCCCCCCCCCCCCCCCCCCCCCGGATACACCTCCAGAGCCGCTTCTTTTGAGGTCCCTGAGCAATAGACTTAAGCAATAAACTGGAAAGCCTCTTAAAGCTAAAGCCTGGGACGCCAAGGAGATCGGGCAGACTGGAGGCAACCTTAGTTTGCAGGCGCGATCTCACGTCTGTGTATCCCTCTACCCTAAACCCTAACTCCCGAAACCC